TTGGTTTTAAGGCATTTTCAGCTTCGTGTGGCAAAAGTTGACAGGCCAAGAAATGCTTATAGTGTACTGTAATTAGGAAATAATTAGCTTCTGATTGTGATGGCGTGAATTGTAACATCTGTATTGTCCCACCCATCACATGGGACTGAAAATGGAATAAAAGTTTTTTTAAAATGCCTCTCAGGGATCTCACCTCTGGCTCAGAAAGGGGTTTAGTCCAACAGGGTGCCCCCCTGTGCCATGGGGGGCTGCTCCCTTCTGGGGGTGTCACAGCTCCAGACACCCCCGGGAGAGTTTGCAGGGGATGGACCCTGGGCTGTGCTGGAGGCTGGGAGGCAGCCGAGGCTCCCCAGCAGGATCAGGGACCCCGGAGCCCACCCAGCCCCTCTGTGCCTGCACAGGGCAGCGCCAGCCCCGAGCGTCCCCGCGGCCGCCCGGGAGCGGCTCCTGGCGCCGGGCAGGGCTCGCTGCCCCCCCGGGCCGGATGACAGATGCCTGCAGTGGAGGAGAACGTGCTGCAGCTCCCGCTGCCAGCCTGGATGCCTCCGACCCGGAGCTGCACTATGAGGAGGAGGAAGAGGAGGAGGAGGAGGAGGCATCATCAGGATCCTCGGAGCCCTCGGACACCAGCAGCATCTTCTCGGATGACTCGGTGTACCCCTGCTACGAGGTGTCCCCCGAGGCTGGCGGGGCTGGGCTCCTCAGTCTCTACCAGTGCTGTGCCAGGAATGATGCCAAGCTGGTGTGGGAGAGGCTGGAGCAGGGCGTGAGCCGCAGCGAGGCCACGGAGCTGGACATCAACGGGAGGGTGAGCGGCTGGGCAGGGCTGCACGGGGCTCCAGGCAAAGCCTGGGGCTGGGGGCTGCTAAAGAAATATAGAGAGGCCTGGCTGGGATGGATCCCCTGGATTGATCCAATCCTTGGAGCAGAATGAGGGATTTTCCAGGAGCAGGGAAAGCCTGAAGACTAGAGCAGGTGGGGCAGGAGGGTGGGATGGATCTCCTGGATTGATCCAAACCTTGGAGCAAAACAAGGATTTTCCAGGAGCAGGGAAAGCCTGAAAGCTGAGGGCTGCTAAAGCAGATGGGGTAGGAGGGTGGGAGAGGCCTGGGTGGGATGGGTCTCCTGGATTGATCCAATCCTTGGAGCAGAATGAGGGATTTTCCAGGAGCAGGGAAAGCCTGAAGACTAGAGCAGGTGGGGCAGGAGGGTGGGATGGATCTCCTGGATTGATCCAAACCTTGGAGCAAAACAAGGATTTTCCAGGAGCAGGGAAAGCCTGAAAGCTGAGGGCTGCTAAAGCAGATGGGGTAGGAGGGTGGGAGAGGCCTGGGTGGGATGGGTCTCCAGCACCAGAATCTTTATATTCAGCACCAGGGTCTTCATATTCAGCACCAGTATTTTTAAATTCAGCACCAACATTTTTATATGCAGCACCAGTATTTTTATATTCAGCACCAGCATTTTCATATACAGCACCAGAATCTTTATATTCAGCACCAGGGTCTTCATATTCAGCACCAGTATTTTTAAATTCAGCACCAACATTTTTATATTCAGCACCAGCATTTTCATATACAGCACCAGAATCTTTATATTCAGCACCAGGGTCTTCATATTCAGCACCAGTATTTTTAAATTCAGCACCAACATTTTTATATTCAGCACCAGCATTTTCATATACAGCACCAGAATCTTTATATTCAGCACCAGGGTCTTCATATTCAGCACCAGTATTTTTAAATTCAGCACCAACATTTTTATATTCAGCACCAGCATTTTCATATACAGCACCAGAATCTTTATATTCAGCACCAGGGTCTTCATATTCAGCACCAGTATTTTTAAATTCAGCACCAACATTTTTATATGCAGCACCAGTATTTTTATATTCAGCAGCAGAATCTTTATATTCAGCACCAGCATTTTCATATTCTGTACCAGAGTCTTTATATGCAGCACCAAGGTTTTTAAATTCAGCACCAATATTTTTATATTCAGCACCAGTATTTTCATATACAGCACCAGAATCTTTATACTCAGCACCAGCATTTTTATATTCAGCATCAGGATCTTCATATTCAGCACCAGGGTTTTTAAATTCAGCACCAACATTTTTATGTGCAGCACCAGTATTTTTATATTCAGCACCAGCATTTTCATATTCAGCACCAGAAACTTCATATTCAGCACCAGAATCTTTATATTCAGCACCAGGATTCCCAGCTCATGCTTCTCAGCACAGAGGGAACAGCTGGAATCCTTCCTCTGATCCATATTTTTCATATATTTCACATATTTTCATGTGTGCAGCAAAGTCCCTCTGGGGTTCTGCTGAAAACAGGGAGCACTACCCCCCACGATTTGCCTTGGCACCAATTTCCTGCCTTTTTGGCAAGAAAATAGCTGATCCAGGGACTGGGAATGCTCTCTCAGAATCCAGGTGGCCCTTGAACTTCAGGACACACATAAAAACCTCCACAATATACAAACAACAACAAAAAAAAACCCTTTAAAGCTGAAGAGAAGAGGTCAAGCTTCATGTGTAATTTAAAGCTAAAGAGAAAAGAACAGTCAAGCTTCATGTGGAATTTGGGAAACAATTTTTGCAGCTCCTGGGCTGAGGCTGCCCTGAGAGCTTTGGAATTCATTCCCAGTGGAGCAGGAGGGATGGAAACTCGAAGGGGAAATCACAGAGTTTATTTAACACACGTGTACATTTCAGATGTCCAAACCCTTGAGCGGAGCAGCAGCTTCCCAGAATTATCTGCTCAGCCAAATTCACCTGGCTCGAAAGTCAGGTGGGGGGAGGTTTTGGGGTTTCAGCTGAGCCTGTGGGACTGCTCAGGCAGCACAGTCACACCACAGTGAGACAGGTATAAAAATACAGCCCAGGGCTCCAGCAGCTCCTCAGCTAAAGACACTAAATCCTGTCCTGATCCTGATCAGACTGGATGCAGCCATTTTAAGCAACAGTTTAATTTAAGATCTCTTGGGTAGCTGAGCCCACGTCAACGTGCAGGTTGTCACAGCTTTGGTGCCAAAAGGCCACCTCAGCCACGGGGCACAAACCTGTTTTTCCCTGCAGAGGGTACAGAGGGACATTCATGGCTGCTTGGTGAGGTTTCCCTCCTGGCTGTGGCCGGGATGCTGCCCAGCTGAAGAGGGAGCCACGGGGAAGATCTGAGCAGCCCCAGGGAAGATCCAGGTGAGAGGAACACCCTCCATGCCCAGAGCCTGCTTGGGAACACCTGAGGGTGGGGAAGTTTAGTGGCATTTGGAATTTTCCTCCTTTCATGGCACTCATTAATTAATTAATTGCTGGATTTCTGCTAAGAAGTGAGAGGGTTTGATCCCTCTGCCAGGCTGAGCCAGGTTGTCCCTGCCCACAGCTCCTGTCCCAGGGCTCTGTGTCCTGGAGGAGCCAGGAGCTGCTGTTCCATGGGAAAAGCCTTTGAATTGATTTTATCCCTCCCTGCCAGAGGGATCACATCTCACCGAGGATGAAAACTCTGCAGTGAGGGTGAGGAGGCCATTTATATGCCTCACATCAGGATGCCAAAGAAATCTCTAATTGTAGCTAAAAGACAACTGCCACAGCCAAGGCTGAGATCTGCTAACCTCACTCATGGAATTCAGAGCTTAAAAATTACAAACTGTAGTAGAAGTATAAACACAGCCCAGTGATCAAGAAGCTCCACTGCACACCAGGAGCAGGCAGGGCTCTGTGCTCTGGGGGAGCCAGGAGCTGCCGTTCCATGGAAAAGCCTTTGAATCCATTGGGATGTGCCCTGGATAAGTGGGGAGGGGGCTGGGAAGGGTCAGACCTGCGTGTGGCACTGATTTGGGGATGTGTCCTCCCCTCTGGTGCTCTGCACAGCAGCCCAGCACTTCAGCTCCCTGAGCACCTCCACAGCCCTGGAGATTTTCCAGCCCCACCACAGCCCTGGATTCAGCACCAGCTGTGCCACACTCACCCATCATCCATCCCAGAGAGAGGGGGAAATGTGGGAAATGTGTTTGTAGAGAATTCCCCAAGCCTGACAGAAGGCTCCCACATCTTTATGCAAACCGTGGGATAAGAAATGATGGCTTAGCAATGCCATGGAATGGGACAGACATTGCTGAGAGAGAAATGGAGCTAAAAAAAAAGGTTCAAATGGTGAAAATAAGACTAGATACTTTGGAGAAACAGAACTGTGAAAGATGCATTGTAGTAGGAGCCACGAGGGGTAATTTTTGATTATTGGTTTTAAGGCATTTTCAGCTTCGTGTGGCAAAAGTTGACAGGCCAAGAAATGCTTATAGTGTACTGTAATTAGGAAATAATTAGCTTCTGATTGTGATGGCGTGAATTGTAACATCTGTATTGTCCCACCCATCACATGGGACTGAAAATGGAATAAAAGTTTTTTTAAAATGCCTCTCAGGGATCTCACCTCTGGCTCAGAAAGGGGTTTAGTCCAACAGGGTGCCCCCCTGTGCCATGGGGGGCTGCTCCCTTCTGGGGGTGTCACAGCTCCAGACACCCCCGGGAGCGTTTGCAGGGGATGGACCCTGGGCTGTGCTGGAGGCTGGGAGGCAGCCGAGGCTCCCCAGCAGGATCAGGGACCCCGGAGCCCACCCAGCCCCTCTGTGCCTGCACAGGGCAGCGCCAGCCCCGAGCGTCCCCGCGGCCGCCCGGGAGCGGCTCCTGGCGCCGGGCAGGGCTCGCTGCCCCCCCGGGCCGGATGACAGATGCCTGCAGTGGAGGAGAACGTGCTGCAGCTCCCGCTGCCAGCCTGGATGCCTCCGACCCGGAGCTGCACTATGAGGAGGAGGAAGAGGAGGAGGAGGAGGCATCATCAGGATCCTCGGAGCTCTCGGACACCAGCAGCATCTTCTCGGATGACTCGGTGTACCCCTGCTACGAGGTGTCCCCCGAGGCTGGCGGGGCTGGGCTCCTCAGTCTCTACCAGTGCTGTGCCAGGAATGATGCCAAGCTGGTGTGGGAGAGGCTGGAGCGGGGCGTGAGCCGCAGCGAGGCCACGGAGCTGGACATCAACGGGAGGGTGAGCGGCTGGGCAGGGCTGCACGGGGCTCCAGGCAAAGCCTGGGGCTGGGGGCTGCTAAAGAAATATAGAGAGGCCTGGCTGGGATGGATCCCCTGGATTGATCCAATCCTTGGAGCAGAATGAGGGATTTTCCAGGAGCAGGGAAAGCCTGAAGACTAGAGCAGGTGGGGCAGGAGGGTGGGATGGATCTCCTGGATTGATCCAAACCTTGGAGCAAAACAAGGATTTTCCAGGAGCAGGGAAAGCCTGAAAGCTGAGGGCTGCTAAAGCAGATGGGGTAGGAGGGTGGGAGAGGCCTGGGTGGGATGGGTCTCCTGGATTGATCCAATCCTTGGAACAGACCAAGGATTTTCCAGGAGCAGGCAAATCCTGAAGGTTGGGGCTTGCTCGAGCAGGTGGGGCAGGAGGGTGGGATGGATCTCCTGGATTGATCCAATCCTTGGAGCAGAATGAGGGATTTCCAGGAGAAGGGAAAGCCTGAAGACTAGAGCAGGTGGGGCAGGAGGGTGGAATGGGTGGGATGGATCTCCTGGATTGATCCAAACCTTGGAGCAGAACAAGGGACTTCCAGGAGTAGGGAAAGCCTGAAGACTAGAGCAGGTGGGGCAGGATGATGGGACGGGTGGGATGGATCTCCTGGATTGGTCCAATCCTTGGAGCAGGAGGGTTTTTCAGGAGCAGGCAAATCCTGAAGGTTGGGGCTTGCTAAAGCAGGTGGGGCAGGGGGGTGGGATGGATCTCCTGGGATTGATCCAATCCTTGGAGCAGAACCTTCTCTGCCCTCCCATCCTGCTCCAGCCTGGTTTGGGTGGGGGGCCAGTCTGGAATGGCCGGGGGAGCACCGTGGTGCTGAGTGCTGTTCCCTCTCCAGAACGCGCTGATGGTCGCCTGCTCCAAGGGCTTCGTGGACATCGTGCTACTGCTGCAGAAGTGTCCCTACATCAACATCAACCAGCAGGACAACGATGGCAACACGGCCCTCATGATGGCTGCCCAGGCAGGTCAGCACTGAGCCCAGCCCTGGCACAGGTGGCACCCTCAGGAAGGGATGTGACCCCCTGTGCTTCCCCCAAAAACCCCAAAAGGTTTTTTTCTGTGGTGAAAGCCGTGCTCCCAAGGTGACATCAGCTAAATTTGTTGTTCACCTCAGCTGTGCTTTAAAAATGATGAGAAAATGGAGATTCTTGCAGTGGTGCTGGGTCGAGGGGCAGAGCTGGGCTGGAGCTGCCCCTTGTGCCCCAGGAATCACAGGGATTTACCTGGCAAAAGGCTCCAAACCCAAACCTCCAGTCTGGGTCCCTTCCCCTGATTTACCAGGAGGGGAAGGAGAAGGGTCCCAAAGTGGGGATCACCCTCAATTCCCATTGTATCCTTGCTAGAATTCATCATTTTCTGGGGTTTTTTTCCATTTTTGGACTCTTTCCTGTGTTCTCCACTAAAGCAGTTGGTTCATCATCGCTGCTCACTCCATGCCCAACCCAAAATAAACCCAAAACAAAATAAACCCAAACCCTTTCAATCCTGACCCCTTCAATCTTCCACACCTGCACCCTGTTGCTTTAAGTTTTTTTAAATTTTCTGATGTTTACATTTTTATAGCAAACTTTCTCGCACACTTTATGTAAATAACTTGTTGTTTTGTATTTTTGTTTGTAGAGGAGGAGAAATTTGATAGGCTGTTGGTTTGTCCAGTGTCGTTGGAGAGGTGGCACTTTCCCCCTTCAATCCACTGTCACTTTTAGAAACCTATAAATGTTAGAGTCAGAAATTAAAAAGCCCTTTTACCTTGAAAAGAGCAGCGTGTCCATGTAATATTATTTTGTATAGTGACAGCACCCTCACGGAATGCAGCTGCTGAATTCTCTGTCCAGCCCAGCCATGGTCGCTGGTGGCTGTGGGGACTCTAACACAGCTTTTCTCTGGCTCTTAAGGACACATCACCATTGTCAACTATCTCCTGAATTACTACCCTGCCCTGGAGGTGGATCAGAGGGACCCGCGGGGGCTGACAGCGCTGATGAAGGCGGCGGTGCAGGGGCAGCAGGACTGCGTCACCGCCCTGCTCCTGGCAGGTGAGCGACCCCAGAGACCCCGCGTGTGCTGGTCTCCGTGTTGGTGAGGATGAGAGTTTGAAAAGAAAGTCTCACAGATATGTATGTGTGCTTGTCACGATCCGTCCTCACAAACGGGGCTCGCGATGTTTTACTGACCTCAGGGTGCAAAAACCGACACCACAAAGGGGGTTTGCAGTGGTAAGAACAAATGTACCTTTATTGAACGACCTCAGCAAAATGCCTTAGAGAGGGGGGAGTGAGGAAAAGGGGAAAGAATAAGGAAAAAAAAGGGGGAAAGACAGGAAGGTACATAGCTACCAAACATGGAACGACGTGGTCCTTTGAAGTCCAGTGGACGGAACCTGTCGTGTTCACGTCAGGGGAGATATCAAAACCCCTAGCTAACTCAGGGGGTTTTATTATTGAAATTATGAAGGAGGAGAACAGATACAATAGTCCATGTTCTCAGCAATGGGTGAGAACCATTGTCTTCTTGTCCAGTGGTCGGCAAACATCTCGCTTTGGTCAGCGTGCCTTCCCCCGGGTCAGGGCTTTCAGTCTCAGTCCTTGGCAGGGGGAGCGTTTCCATGTTGGGGTCTCAGGTCTCAGTCCTTGAGGGAGAGGCTTCTCCCATCTCAGTCTGTCTGTCACGGTGGTTCTACAGTAGAGGAAGGGTCTTCTGAGGGGACCACCAAAAGGTCATTCCAGAGAAAAATCCAGCCAAGTCGGGAGGTGGGGAAATTCCAGAGCCGGTGCTGCGAAGCGATGCAGGCGAAGAAGGGCAAAGTGCCCCCCTTCTTCTTTCAGTAAGTTCAGTGCTCCTTGTGGCATGGCAAACACACCTGCAGACAGTGATTTGGCAAGCCACAAGCTGTGCTCAGGCTCCCGGGTCTTGGTGGACAAGCAAGTCCACCCGGATTCCAGAACAGGATCCTTCTTTTTCCCCGGTGGTCCCGGTTTCTGTCCTTTTCACAACAATCGTGAGGCAAAATGAGAGGAATTTCGGACAGAGACTTGCAACGCTTGGCAGAAAGATTTTTTTGAATGTAGAATCTGAAGAAGGACTAGAGATGGAAGGAAGTTTTGATATAGAAGAAAAGAATTGCTGAGCCAGTCTTACTGGACAACCAAGGAGGAAAAGGGTTGTTAGTTAGAAGGGGTTTTATGGCTTAGGACAAAGGATAAACCCACCTCAGACAAGAAGATATTTTTACCAAGCAGAAAGATAGCACAGGCAAACAAGTCAGCAGATGTTGTAAGTAGAAAAAAGGTCTCCGAATTTTCCACTGCAAGAAAACTAAAATACAACTTCTAGCTTAAACTGTAATGAACTAACTTTTAGTGATTGGGGAATAGTAACACGAATGTGGTAATTATAGTAGTTATGATAGGCTATGGGTAAAAGTTAAGGTATAGATTGGTTCTTCTCTATTAAGATGCTCAGCAAAGAAAATTATATAATGCACTGCATTATATAATTGTATAATTATATAATTGCAAATTATATATTAAATTAATTATATATAATTGCAAATTATATAATGCATTGTAACCAAAATGAAGGGATCTCCAGGCCTGCCTGCAGCTGGAGCTGACAGCTGTAGGCACAGGCTCTGTCACCCACCATCCTGGGCTGCTGTAACCTCTTGGATACAATAAACTGCATTTGGAAGAGCTGCCTGGAGCCCCACATCTCTCATTCAGGCTCTTACTCCCCGAACAGAGAGACACACATAGTTCTGTCCCAGCATTTTCCTGGGAAGCTGTGAGAAAGCTCAGAGAAGAGAGTGAGGAACAATTCTTATCTCCACGTGCTGCTCCTGTTGTTGTGCACACGCGGAATGTGTTATGGAGATTGTTTACCAAAGGGTGGTTTCTTAATTGGACAGTGGATGGTGTTTGGATTGATTGATTGACCAATTAGGTTAAAGCTGTATCAGTCTGTAAGGGTTACTGAAGAGTTTCTTATTAAGAGTTTTTTATTAAGAGTTACTTATTAAGAGTTTCTTAATAGTATGGTATAATGTAATAGAGCATAATAAAGCAATTGATCAGCCTTCTGCAATCAGGGAGTCAATGCTAATTATTCCCCGCTCAGGGGACCATTGCCACAATACCTGGGGGTTCCTGGGGAAGGGTGGCACTGCTGCTCAGGGTGGCACTGCCACTCAGAGTGGGACAATGTAGTGATGATGCCTTGGAGAGGCTGCCTAGAACAGAGGCTAGACAAGGTCAGAGGACAAGGAACAGACAAAGGTCAAGGATAAAGAATAAAGTGAGTATCTATTCAAGGCCTTCAATTTACAATTTCTATTACAAATAGAAACAATTTGGGCAGTCAGAAGCCTCCCAGGAGCTACACCCAAGATGGATGATGAGTTTTTCAGACAGATAGAAGTTTGGTCCATTTACATATCAAGAGTTAATCTTCCAGTTACCTTCGGGTAATGAACTCATTCATTACCTTCATTACCTTTGGGTAACAAACCCATATTCCCCCAGTTTGCAGCCCCTCAATTCACTTTTGTTTATACTTTTTGGGGCCTGAAGCTGTAGGATGTCCTTGGATCTCGGGTCTAGAGGAATTGTTTTGTCAAACCGAAGTGTGAAGACAGTAACTTACACTTTATATGGAGTTTAGAGTTTACACTTTATATGGAGTTTAGAGTTATGCACTAATGCAGAACATTATTTGAAAAACATCAAATCTAAACTCCTGAGGCATCACGGCACTCTCTGCTGCCCCCAGGAGCTGACCTGCAGGCTGTGGATGCCGTCAAGGGGAAGACAGCCAGGGAATGGGCGACTTTCACCGGCCGCTTCGAGACCACCGTGCGCATCCGGAGCCTCCTGCGGCGCCCGCGCGCCGAGCAGTTTGCAGCGCAGTACCAGCCCGAGTGGCCAGCGCTGGCCCAGCTGGTGGCCAAAGCCCTGAGCCCCAAATCCAGGAGCAAGAGGCTCTCGGAGAAGATCCGCTCCATTTTCACCTTCAACATCCCCCGCAACCCCGAGGAGGACGGCGTGCTGGACCACATGGTGAGGATGACCACGGCGCTCGCCAGCCCTTTCGTGGCCACCGCTTGCCAAACCGTGTGCCCCGACAGCCCGCCCGAGGTGGGCAAGCGCAGGCTGTCGGTGCCGGAGATCCTCGGGCAGCACGTGCCAGACCCAGAGGAGGAATCAGAAATGTCCTCCAGGCCCAGCACGGGGGGATCCTCCTGCAATGGCCAGGCCGTGGCCGAGCTCCGGCCGCCGCCGCGGCCACCGCCCAGCCGGCTGCTGAGCTTCCTGCCGCTGTGGCTGCGCCGGGGCAACAGCGTCTGCCCCGGGGAGCCCGTCCCCAAAATCAAAGTCAGCAAAGCCTCTGGCTCGGCCGCCGGGGAGAGGAAGCCACGTGTGAAGGACAAGCACCTGCTGCAGCTGCCCCAGTGGAGGTACAAGGTGCTGAAGGAGGAGAGGAAAGCGGCCGAGGAGGCCAAGACGGGGGAGAAGAAGAAGAAGAAGAAAAAGAAAGGATAAGGCGGGAGGTGTCGGGGTGGGGACAAGGTTCTTGCTGTCCCCTTGGATTTGCTGAGTTCTCTGACACGGGAGGGGGGTTTTGTTCCCGGTGGATGGGAATTGAATATCCCCAAGGGTTCTCAGGCCCCTGCCTGGCCTCTGGTCCTCTCCACCCCAAGGGTGGCCACCCTAGCGTGGGACATGTCGTGCTGGGCACTGATATCCTGAGACCCTGAAGCTCCAGGAATGCCAGGGAGCAGGACTGTGGCACAAGCCCTTCCTATTTTTCCCTTTTTTTTCCTTCTTTTTTTTTTCTTTTGCCTCTGATTTTCCTAAGTTCTCGATTCCGCGGCGTGCGTCGGAATGTGGCTGAGCAAATTAAAATGGAAGTGGTTGCCATGTTAACAGGATTGATTCCATGAATAAAGCTCAGGGTTGCTGTGGGGCTGGCAGGAATGCTCCCCCGTTGATGCCAGTGTCCCCTGGCCGCCCTGTCACCTCCTCAGTGACATTCCCCACTCCTGGGTGTTCCTGGGTGCTGGATGGACACACCAAGGCTCAGCACAGGGAGCAGCTCCGTGCTGTGGAAGGAGGACCAGCTGCAGGCACAGGCTGGAAATGCTTGGGATGCTCATGGGCTCCATCCCAGCCGCTCTCAGAGCTCCAACACTGCCGAGCAGCAGCAGCAGGGCCCTGGTGTTCCCAGATTTCCAGATCCCCCCAAACCCAGCTCCACCCCAGGGTGCAGGAACTGGCTGGGCTGCTGGCTCCTGCAGCGTGGGCAGAGTTTGACTCCAGGACTCCAGAGCAAAGATAATTCTTGTCCAGCTGTGCAGCCCCCTCCCTTCATCACCCCCTTTTTTGCAAGGGACAGGAGTCCACGCTCCCCCTTTGAGGCTGCAGCTCTGCCCTTTTGGGGCACCGGGAGGTTTGGGCTGCTCTGAGGGAAGGAGCCGCAGCCTCCCCGCGTGTTCTCCTCCATGCCCTGGCTCGCTCGGACTCCTCGCACGTGTCTGCCCTCCTTGGCAGCTCCCTGCCGCTCGCAGCTGAGCCGGGGGAGGGCGGCACATGGAGCAGTCGTGCCATCAGCCATGCCACCAGCCTTGCCATCAGCCGTGCCATCAGCCCTGCCAGCAGCCGTGCCACCAGCCATGCCACCAGCCCTGCCGGCAGCCGTGCCAGCAGCCGTGCTATCATCCGTGCACCAGCCGTGCCACCAGCCATGCCATCAGCTGTGCCACCAGCCGTGCCAGCCTGGCTCCTGCCACGCAGAGGAAAGGGAGACACGGGCACCCACCGGCCCCTCAGCCCCCTGCCATCGTGGGGATGGCTCAGTGAGACCCCAAGGGATGGCTGGGTGCACCTGGGGAGGGTCCGGGGAAGCTCCTTCCCTTCCCTTCCCTTCCCTTCCCTTCCCTTCCCTTCCCTTCCCTTCCCTTCCCTTCCCTTCCCTTCCCTTCATGAAATCTCAGCCATGAGCACCGGGATGATGACGGAAAGTCTCCCTTTGGCCCCGGGAGGTTGTCCCGGGGCTGGCACGGGTCTGTGGGTGGTGCCCAGCCCCGCTGATTCACCCCGTGTGCCCCAGACGGGGCAGGAGCCCGCGGTGGGTTGGATTTGCCCATCCCAACCTCCCACTCTGGAGGAATTCACTTTCCCGCAGCGCCAGAGCTGCAGCTGAGCTCCCACTGAGACAGAGGAAAAAATTTCCAGAGCAGAAATCCATTTTGATTTAAGTAAAATGTACATTTTTGAATTAGGTCTATAACTTGCAAACAGAGCTGTTTAGTCTAACTGCCTGTTCTCGCAAAAAAAAAAAAAAACTTGGCTGAAGAAACTACTTCAGCCAAAAAACAAAAATAAGAGAAAGCCCCTTGGATTCTAAAACAAACAGAAAAACTTCTACAAAAAACAAAACGAGACGACCCAAGAATTCTTTCTGTACTTTCTAATAAAAAACTAGCTGCAAGTATAACACAAAATCAGTAAAATAAATATTTATAAACCTGTTGTAAAATTCCATGCACATAAATTAATTTCAAAAATTTTAAAAATCTAAAGTTCCCAAAGACAATGTCATTTAAAAAAAAAAAAATCCCCACATGCATCCAACACTGTAATAAACACACCAACTTTACAACTTTCACAAAAGTTGTAAAATCTGTTTGCTTCCACAAACCACTACCCATCCCCGCCTTTCCAGTCACCCAGGATTAGGATTTAGGAACTTTCAGGAGTTTTAAAGCAGTGTTTACCCCCTCAGTGATTTAAAAAAGGAAGGTGGCCCGCTGGAAAGGCGGAGTGGCAGGGATCAAAGCAGCCTTTGCTGGAGCCGCACAAGCAGGATGCCCGTGTCTGCTCCCATGGAAAGGCAGCAAGAACCATCCAGGAATAACCCGGGAGGGGCCAAAATCCGTCCGGATCGCTGCGAGCCGCCCGGCGGAGCAAAGATGGTCACGGAGATAAGGATTCTGCAGGCATCGGGCAGCTCCTATCGGATGGAAACCGCTCGTTTCCCCCGCGCCGCTCGGGCACGGCTGCGGCTCCCGCACGGGCAAAGGCACCGCCGAAGGTCCTGCGTGTTTTATCCTGGTTTTGTGCTTTTTGTTTGTTTAAACTTCCGAGATCTCGCCTGATAGGGATGGCCAGACTCAAAGCTCCGCCGCCGCGGTGCCCCCGGCTCCGGGAGGCTCCGGGAGGCTCCGGGCGGGTTCGGGATGGAATTTGGGCTGGTGGTGCAATGGCAGGAGGTAAATCAGGTCCTGGCACCTCTTGAGAAAGAGGCTGCGATGCTGGAGAGGGGCACCGTGCCAGGGAAACAGCTGGCAGATGCTGGAGTTTGGACGCTGAGGATTTTAGAATTTCTGTGCTGACACACTCGGACTCCCAGGAGAGCGCTGCGTTTTGACCTGAGGCCGTGGAAAAGGCTTCCAAAATTGATTGGTAGCACTGAGATTACGGCTGTGCGGTTGATTAGAAGCGTGTAATATCACTTTTCTGCCAAAAACCCGCAGGCAGAAGGGCAGGGATGGAGCTTGGAATGGCGCTGGAGGGCGAAGTGTGGGGCTGAGATTGGGGTGGCCCAAAGAGCAACCCCGAAAGTGGCAAAACGGGAAGCGGTGCTTCCTCTGCCCAGGGTCCCGTGGGCTCCGGGGGAGCGGGAAGTGCCCGGCCCCGGCCGTGGGAACTGCCCTGGTGGCGGTGTCCCAGCGCCTGCCACCGCGGCGTGCCCCGGGGACAGCGGGGACGCGCCGGCACCCGGCTCCGAGCGCACCCCGCGGTCACCGTGCCCGGCTCCGTGCCCTCCACATCCCCCGGCACGGCCCTGGGAGAAATGCTGCTCGCTTCCGAAATGTAAAAGGTTTGTTAAAACCTTATCAAAAATACAGAAGATTGAAGAGAGAAAATAGGCACCGGGAGCAGAGGATTTTCCCCATCATGTGCTCGTCCACACAATGGGGACCTTATTTTCACCTTTTAACCCTTATTTTCCCCAAAGTTTTGTCCATCGACTCCTTTGCTGCCCCTTGGTGGGGTTAAAATCGTGATTGGAGGTCAGGTGTTGCCATAGTAACGAGCCGACCCTCCCAAATATCCCAAACCCCAGGCAACCCCGTGATAACAACACAAGGGGGGTAAAACATAACTATAAACCTACAAATCTTCTCTTAACATAAATATATATATGTATACATATATAATATTTGCCTTTTAATTGTGAGAGTCAACCATCACATTGCTCATCTATCACATCCTGATGCCACGTTACACCCCAGGGTGAAATCCTCTCCTGCCCTCCTGATGCCTTTTTGGGCTAAAAGCAGAGACCAGGCAAAATTAAGGGAATAAAAAAGTGGTTCTATTCATTGAAGGGCCTTCAGGTACATTTTGGGACAATGGGCCATGGGTTTTAATTCTTTTATAAGTTTGGTCCATTTTGGGTGTAGTCCCTGGGAGGATTTCATCTGCCTGAAATGTACCTGAAGGCCTTCAATAAATAGATAAGTAAATAAATAAATAAACAAATAAACAAATAACTGCTTTTTATTCCCTTAATTTTGTCTGGCCTCTGTTTTTAGGTGGCCCAAGAAAGGCATCATTCAGCAGTGCACCCTGGAATTGCTGGAATTCCAGCATGGAATAAGCAGGGAGCCCCTTGGCTCTGCCACCAGGGCTGGAGCAGGAGGGGCGGCCGAGCTGACCCAGGTCATTCCCACAGCACCTCTCTAGAACATTCCATCCCCATCCGAGCAAGCTGTGCTCCTGCTGAGCACCTTGGGATGCTCGGGCTGAAGTGCTGATGGCCGTGGGGTGGAATTTGCCACCAAAAACCGGGAAATTGGGTGGGAAAACGCTCGGGGAAGGACGAGGAGGGAGTCAAAGCAGCCAGGATGGAGCTGGGGCCCGGTGAGCGGGAGGAAGGGAGGCTGGTCGTGGCTGTGTGCTCAGCAATAGGAAATGCTTTATTAGCTGGGAGTGGTGGAGAGAAGCCAGGCAGGAAGAGGCAGTAATAAGAAACATTTTTTTGACTTCTCCCACATCCAGACCACAGAGCAGCTGCCAAACGGCTGCGTTGGACAGCGGGGTGGCCAAGCAGGGCCCGGCAGGCAGGGCAAGGGTGACAATCCCTGCCCCAGCGGGACGGGCACGGCCGTGGGAGCCCCCTGGGTGGCAGGATGGGTGGCGGGAGGGCAGCAGATCCATGAAGATCCTCGGAGTTGGGGCTCAGGAGCAAAGCTGTCCCAGCTGAGGAGGATCCAGGAGCGGGATCGTGGCTGGGAGAGCCCCACCAGGGCTGGGCAGTGCCAGGGGATCCCGCAGGACCTGGATGCTGGAGGTGAGTGGGGAACAGCCACGTGCTCCTGGGGTCTGGGGCTGCACCAAGCTCAGGGTTTCCCTCCTGACTGACCCCCGAAATCAGGATTTGGCCCCATTTCCTTTGTGTTCTGTGGGACAGCAGTGTTGACATCAGGGTTAAAGAGGCTGGAATTTGGGGCCAGGGGCACGAATCAGGGCTCACATCAGTGTGGGGGTAGAAGGATCTGTCCCCAGGTCCTTGCTAAAGAGCTGAAATAACAAGCAACTGCAGCAGAAGGGCTGGGATCAACATGGGAAACAGGGAATTTGGGTGTATTTTTAAAAAAACGTGGGGAAAAAGGAGGGAAAGTTGACAGCTCTGCTGGCAGGGGCTGCAGTGAGCTCCAGCAGCACACAATGTGCCACCTCAGTGCTGCACAGCCCCACTCCAGCTCGCTCACAGGAGACACCCAAACGGTCACCAAAGAGGCTCCATCTCCAAAACCAAGCTGGGGAGAGCCCCACCATGGAGCCCCTTCCCCGTGCTGCCCCTGGAGCCCCCTGAGAGGCCGGGGCAGCCACGCTGCCCTGTCCCTGCCCTGCACCAGGTGACACAGGCCACGGCATCCAGGGATGCCACCAAGGTCAACCTGAGTGGTTTGGCTGCTCCCTTGAGTGGGTTTTGCTGCTTTCTTGAGTGGGTTTTGCTGCTTTTTTGAGTGGGTTTTGCTGCTCTTTTCAGTGGGTTTTGCTGCTTTCTTGTGTGGGTTTTGCTGCTCTCTTGTGTGGGTTTTGCTGCTCCCTTTAGTGGATTTTGCTGCTCTTTTCAGTGGGTTTTGCTGCTCCCTTCAGTGGATTTTGCTGCTCTCTCGAGTGGGTTTTGCTGCTCTTTTCAGTGGGTTTTGCTGCTCTCTTTGTGTGGTGCACGTTCATGGAGTGGAAGTGCCTGTCAGTGAGAGGGGCTGGGCTGGTGGGTTCTGCTGGAGAGTGAACACAGCTTTGCTCCACCTGTGACCCACCTGCAGCTGCAGACAGGGAAAGGAAAACTTCCCCCTGTGCCTGGAACCAGGCTGGAGCCTTGGGGTGTGTGGCAAAGCTCCTGGCAGCTCTGGCCTGGTGTCCATGCAGTCCTTCACCCCTGGCTGGCACTGGCACTGGCACTGGCACTGGCACGAGGGGCTGGGCTGTGTGTGACTCCCTGTGAAAAGGCAGCACAGGGGACTGAGCCCTGAGCCACATCCCGTGGCTAAACCCCCTGTCAGCAGCAGAAAGCACAGGGGAAGGTGGAGGAGCTGGGATTGAGGAGCCTGGCCAAGCTGCCCTGGTAAGAGCAGGGACCCCTGAAGCACCCTGCCCACGCCGAGGGCTGTGCCCAGCCACCCTTCCCTGCACTCCTCCTGTCTCCTGCTCCATTTTCCCTCTGCTTTTCCCTCCATGAGGGTGGTGGGGAAATTCCCCTTCCCTGGGCTTTGCTCCTGACCCTCGAGCTGCCTCTTGCTCCCAGCCAGACCCAGGTCCCATCCCAGAGGTTTCCCCTGGAGTTATTTTTCCTTCTCGTGATGCTACAAATCCCAGAGAACATAAAACAGCGGGAGGCAGGCAGGGTGAGATGCTCTGGATGGCAGGAGGGCACGTGAGCTGCAGTTCCTGATGAGAAGGGAGGAAGGAGGGGCAGGGATGGGAATGCCAGGACTGGTTTGTGCCATTTCTGAAGAACCTGGGATGTTTTTCCTGTGGGATGCCAGGAGCAGCTCTGGATTAAGGTTTGCTCTCAGTAACAACGACAATCCATGGGATGTTTTGTACACAGCAGAGTTTGGGTGAGGCCCTGCCTGCTTTGTGTTTCATGGCAAATATCCTGCAGCTGTCTAATGGTTCAGGATTTTGGGGAAGTGGCTCTAGGGAGGGAATTCACCACCTGGGAGGATCAGCTTCCCTTTTAGATGACGCATCCTGGAGCTCTCAGGACTGCAAGAAGTGTGGTGCTGGCAGTCAGGAGTCAGCAGCCCAGCTCCAGAGGCGCTGAGTTTTAAAATAAAGCTGATCCTAGCCCAGATCTGGGAGAGTTGGGATTTTAAAATAATGAAAAGCCTAGCCCAGATCTGGGAGAGTTGAGATTTTAAAATAAAGCTGATCCCAGCCCAGATCTGGGAGAGTTGGGATTTTAAAACAAAGCTGATCCCAGCCCAGATCTGGGAGAGCTGGGATTTTAAAACAAAGCTGATCCTAGCCCAGCTCTGGGAGAGCTGGGATTTTAAAACAAAGCTGATCCTAGCCCAGATCTGGGAGAGCTGGGATTTTAAAATAAATCTGATCCTAGCCCAGATCTGGGAGAGCTGGGATTTTAAAACAAAGCTGATCCCAGCCCAGATCTGGGAGAGCTGGGATTTTAAAACAAAGCAGATTCTGGCCCAGGCGAGGGTCGGAAGGATCCGCCTGGCATCCCTCCTCCACCAGCCCCAGGACCCAGGATCCGCTCTCCGTTTCCTCCTCTCGAGGCACAACCATGTGAGTTATTTCAGGAGGAGCAGCCCGGTTTCCAGCAGGGCTGGAGCTGCCGGGGTCAGCCCCGTCCGTGTGTGCGCTCCCGAGGGCCGGCCTTGCGTGACTGCGCTTCCCCATCAAGGCCAGAATCTAAACAATCTTGATTCCTGTCCCAGCGGCCCTGGGCTGGGCTCTTCAATTGCAGGAAACGGAGCCTTTGGCATGTTTATGTCGGGAACACGAAGAATGAGTTGAGGAGGGGCCGGGGCCTGCGGCCACGCAGCGAGCGGGGGGCAGCGGGGGGACGGCCGTGTTTGCCTTGGCAGAAATGTCTCTTTCACAAGGAGAAAAAAAAAAAAAAAAAAAAAGGAAGATTAAAAATAGCCAAACTTCCCCCAAAGGCTCAGCAAGGAATTTCTGGCTGTCCCAGCACCTCTGTTTGTGTCATTGATAAGCTGCACACAAAAGCAGCCCCAGGAGGGAGACCCTGCCCGTGGCCAGCCGCGTGGGCTGCTCGTGGTGTGGGGGATTTGGGCTCCATCCCACGGTCAGGTTTTCCCAAATCTGGGATCCCCAGCAGGGCTGTGCCACCATCAGGGCTGCCAAGCCCACGGGGGCTGTGTTTTTATGGAGCAGGAGCCCTGGGAACAGCGGGAAGTTATTGTACGTACGGGGTGCCCCGATGAAGGAAGGAATGATGAACTGACTCCATGTTCTCAGAAGGTTAATTTATTATTTTATAATACTATATTATATTAAAGAATACTAAACTATACTAAAGAATACAGAAAGGATACTTACAGAATGCTAAAAAGCTAATAATGAAAACTTGTGACTCTCTCCAGAGCCCCCGCACAGCTTGGCCTGATGTGAATTGTTTTGGCTCATTGGTTGGCCAAAGAGTCAAAACAATTCACATCAGAAACCCAATGAAACAATCACCTGTGGGAAAACAATCCCCAAACACATTCCACACTCCCTCCCAGGAGGGAGACCCTGCCCGTGGCCAGCGGCGGGGGCTGCTCGTGGTGTGGGGGATTTGGGCTCCATCCCACGGTCAGGTTTTCCCAAATCTGGGATCCCCAGCAGGGCTGTGCCACCATCAGGGCTGCCAAGGCCACGGGGGCTGTGTTTTTATGGAGCAGGAGCCCTGGGAACAGTGGGAAGTTGTATTTACGGGGTGCCTCAATATTGGAAAGAATGATGAACTGACTCCATGTTCTCAGAAGGTTAATTTATTATTTTATGATACTATATTATATTAAAGAATACTAAACTATACTAAAGAATACAGAAAGGATACTTACAGAATGCTGAAAAGCTAATGATGAAAACTTGTGACTCTCTCCAGAGCCCCAGCACAACTTGGCACTGATTGGCCAAAGAGCCAAAACAATTCACATCAGAAACCCAATGAAACAATCACCTGTGGGAAAACAATCCCCAAACACATTCCAAAGGAGCAAAACACAGGAGAAGCAAATCAGATAATTATTGTTTTCCTTTTTCTCTGATTCTTCTCAATTTCCCAGGAGAAAAATCCTGAAAATGTGAATATAACAGGAAGGGCCAGTGTGGGGATCACCAGGAGAAAGGAAGAAGCTGGGGCTGCATGGACGAGGCAAGGGCCTGGTTCCAGCACATTCCTGAGCCCTGTGGGGCCACGAGTGGCACCCCACACCACGGCAGGGAGGTCCCCAGAGCTGGGGAGGTCCCGGGATCTGTTCTCAGGAAGGGCCGTGCCCAGGATGTCCGGAGCCAAGCTCCGCTGGAGCAGCACATCCCACCTCACTCTGTCTGTGCCTGCCCTCTGCAAAGCCCCCCTCCCTTCCCAAAGCCCCCAGGGTTGGGGATGGGCCCTGGGGGTGCAGGGGCTGCTCTGACCCCTCTTCTGTCCCCAGGATGATGCCGTGTGGGGCCGGTGGCCGGGTGGTGCTGGCGCTGATGAGCCTGTCCCTCAGCTTCGCCGCCGGTGAGTGCCGATGCAGCGGGGTGGCAGCAGCTTAAAATAAACCCTCGGCTTTTTGGGAGCATCTCTGCTCAAAAGAAAAGCCAGGGAGGAAGCTGGGCTCCTCAGGGACTGTGCTGTGTCCCTGTGGTACGGTGAGCCATCCCCCGGAGAGGATCTCAGCTTAATTAATTGTGGTTGATGGAGCGCTTTGCTGTCACCGGAGGGGAGATGGGGAAAGGCTGGAACCACATAGTAAAAATGTGCGTTTTCCCAGGGGTGGTGGTGCTGAGGATGATGATGGTGGTGGTGGTGGGAAGCAGGAGGAGTGCTCAGCATCCCAGGGGAGCACCAGGTGACAGATCCAGGCTGGGTGCTCGTGCAGGGAGGTCCAGGGAGGAGCAGCAGAGCTCACTGGGGGATGATTCTCTGCCGAGTCCCTGTCCTGCCCACAGGGCCACCAACCCCAAACCAGCCCCAGCACCATCCCACAGCACCAGGCAGCCTTTGGGCAGGGGGACAGGAGTGCAGGATGGCCACCACAGCCATCCCCTTGCTGTCCCCTCACTGTCCCCTCACCACCGGATGTCTGGCTGCCCTCATGCTGAACTCCCTGATTCCAGGAGGGATATTTTCTGTGCGAAAGGGCAGAGCTAAATTAGGAATTTGGGAGTGTGGCTGCCATCTGAGCCACTCTGGCACAGGAAAATGCCTTCAGGGAAGTCAGGAAAAACTCCAGGAAAGACCCTGGGTTTGGCACCCAGCTCCCAAAACACCCACTGGGAGGCACTGGCTGAGTTTGGGGTTTTTGATCTCACCCCGGGCTCCTATAGGTCCCATGTGCCCTGGGATTTTGTGGGCAGGATGTGGCCCTGTGTGTTGTAAACCAGTGCATCCCAGTTAATCCCAGCTGCTGGGCTGGATGCCCAGTCCATCCCATGGAGCCTCTTGGGGGTGTGGGAACAGGGGACCCCCAGGTTCAGGGCTTGGATTTGGAGCCCAGCTGGGAGCAGGTGATTTTCTGGGAGGTGCCAGGATGGGCTCCTTGTACTGAGCACCCACATCAGCCTTCCCCTCCTTCTCTGACCATCCCAGGCTGCCCATTCTCAAAATTTGGAGCCTTTAGGAGAATGTCCCTGTCCCCAAAGCCACCAAAGCTCCCGGGTGGGCAGTGGGGGTGACCCTGTGGCACAACGTGTCCCCTCCTGGTGCCCGCAGAGGAGCTGCTGTGTGCCTGTGACGTGCCCCACTGCAGCCAGCCCAACTGCACGGGCAAGGTGTGCTTCGTCAGCAAGAGGAGGGACGAGGGCACCATCACCCAGCACCGGGGCTGCTTCTCCCAGAACATTCTGGAGCACTGCCACACGCCCGTGACGGAGCAGTACGGCATGAGGTGCTGCAACTTCCACATGTGCAACGCCAAGATGGAGATCTTCCTGCAAGGTACGGGGGACAGGGGGCAGGGGATGAGCTGCCCACGGGGCTGGAGATGTGCTTGGGTCTCAGGATCGTCCCTGTGCTCGCTCAGCACCTGCAGAGCCGCCAAGGTGTCCCTGCTTGGGGTGTGCCTGCAGAGCTGCCGTCCCTGGGGTTGATCCCTGTCACTGTCATGCTTTCTGGAAAAATCTCCTTGCCTAGGGTTTTCTCCTGGGAAGCTGAGAAGCCTCAGAAAAAAAGGAAAACAATATTATCTCATTTGCTTCTCCTGTGTTTTGCTGCTTTGGAATGTGTTTGAGCATTGTTTACCAACTGGTGCATGTTTAATTAGTTTCATGTGAATTATTTTGACTCAATGACCACAGCCAGGCTGTGTCGAGACTCTGGAAGGAGTCACGAGTTTTTCATGAGTATCTTTAAGCCTTCTGTACATACCCTTTCTGTATTCTTTAGTGTAGTTTAGTTTAGTATTCTTTAATATAATACAGCTCATAAAATAATAAATTAGCCTTCTAAGAACATGGAGTCAGATTCATCATTCATCCTTCGTCAAAGGTCTCTGAAAATACCACAGATCCAATGCAGGGACACTCTCCCTCAGGTCCAAGCCCAAACCCTTCCACCTTTCCAGGTCCACCCTCACACTTCCATCCCTCATTTTGTATTTGCAGGGATCCCCACAGCAGGGAAGAACCAGGTTGTGTCGAGACTCTGGAAGGAGTCACGAGTTTTTCATGAGTATCTTTAAGCCTTCTGTACATACCCTTTCTGTATTCTTTAGTGTAGTTCAGTTTAGTATTCTTTAATATAATACAGCTCATAAAATAATAAATTAGCCTTCTAAGAACATGGAGTCAGATTCATCATTCATCCTTCGTCAAAGGTCTCTGAAAATACCACAGATCCAATGCAGGGACACTCTCCCTCAGGTCCAAGCCCAAACCCTTCCACCTTTCCAGGTCCACCCTCACACTTCCATCCCTCATTTTGTATTTGCAGGGATCCCCACAGCAGGGAAGAATGACTCCATGTTCTCAGAAGGTTAATTTATTATTTTATAATACTATATTATATTAAAGAATACTATACTATACTATACTAAAGAATACAGAAAGGATACTTACAGAATGCTAAAAAGATAATAATGAAAACTTGTGACTCTTTCCAGAGTCTTGACACAGCTTGGCGCTGATTGGCAAAAGAGTCAAAAAAATTCACACCAGAATCCAATCAAACAACCATTGGATTAATGATTGGATCCACATAAAACAATCATGTGGGTAAACAATCTCCACACACATTCCACATGAGCAAAACACAGCAGAAGTAAACAAGATAATTATTGTTTTCCTTTTCTCTGGAGCTTCTCAGCTTCCTAGGAGAAAAATCCTGGGCAAAGGGATTTTTTTCAGAGAATGTGAATGCCACACCCTTGTTTCCCCCACCCAGGAGAAGATGCCCTGGTGAAGACACCTTCCCTTCCCAACCTCCTCCTGATGATCTTCGTCCCGCTGCTCTCCCTCCTCGTCCTCGCGGCGCTCACGGCGCTCTTCTGCTGGAAGGTGGCCCAGCACCGCCACAAGCACAGCGACTTTGGTGACACTGACCTCATGCTGAAGGCTTCCATGATGGGAGACAGCACCTTAGAGGTGGGTGAGCTCCGTGAGGGACCCTAAATGTCCCCAAGGTGAGTGTGTGTGGGGGTGGCCACCGCGCTGACGCCGTGGCCACCCTGTTTGCACAGGACCTGCTGAACGACGACTGCACCACGGGCAGTGGCTCTGGGCTGCCTTTCCTCGTGCAGAGGACGGTGGCTCGGCAGATCACCCTCATGGAGTGTGTGGGTAAGGAGAGGAGGCTGCCCCAGCCACCCCCAGCTGGTGCTGCAGGTTTGGCAGCACAGCTTCAAAACCAGGAGGGGCTCGGACCCAGCTGTGTCAGCCAAAACCCAGCAGCAACCTTGTCTTGGTTTGGAAAGTCAGATGTGTCTGCTAAGGAAGGCAGGAGCCTCCCCTGAAATGGAAAATTAACCCACTCTCTCTGAATTGTTATAATTTTGAAATTAAGGGGCTCTCAGGCAAAGATAAGGGAGCAGGAATAACAGTTCTTTATTAGGGAAGAAAATAAAAATAAAATAAACAATGCAGTAATACAAACCAACCCTGCCAGAGTCAGAAATGCCCTGTCCCCTGTGGTCAGGGGGGTGGCACAGGCCCATCCCATGGGGGCTCAGCCCTCCTGCAGTGCCAGCTGTGCTTCTGCTGGAGCAGGGATCCTGCACAAGGGGGGAGTTTTCCTCTGGAGCTCCAGGGCTGCTGGAGATGGGCCTGGTGTTCCTCTGGGAATGCAGGGCAGGAGAAAGCTGCTCCTCTGGGAATGCAGTGGGAAAAGGCTGCTGGGCTGTTCCAGGGTCAGATTGTATCCAGGTAGGAATGTTTGAAATCTCAGATTGTGTCCAGGTAGGAATGTTTGAAATCTCAGATTGTATCCAGGCAGGAATGTTTGAAATCTCAAATTCTATCCAGGCAGGAATGTTTGAAATCTCAGATTGTATCCAGGTAGGAATGTTTGAAATCTCAGAGTCTGTCCAGGTAGGAATGCTTGGTGGAGCATCTCCCTTGGTGGAGCATCTCCCAATGGATGATGGAATTTTATCAGCCATGCAGGGACACTCACTGGCCATGAACAGAAGATAATTAATAATTAATGGCCCATTTACAGCAGAGATCTCCTGGAGGGAGGATTGGTTGTGGAACAGATAAAGAAAACTGCCCAATGAACAGCAGATAATGCCCCACCTCTGAGAGATGGCAAATAGAATTCACACAGGACCTCTCAATTTAGGACAAACCCCAGGTTCTTCCCCTGTCCTGCTCCTGGGGAGGGAGGGAGCAGCTGGGCGGGTGAGGGGATGTTGGCCAAGGAGCCCCGTGCTGCTCCAGGGCTCTCCCAGACAGGATCCAGGTGCCCACGCTGGCTCCTGGGGGCACCGTGTGACGCGGTGGCACGGCTGCGGCAGGTAAAGGGCGCTACGGCGAGGTGTGGCGCGGCGTGTGGCACGGGGAGAGCGTGGCCGTCAAGATCTTCTCCTCCCGGGACGAGCAGTCGTGGTTCCGTGAGACAGAGATCTACAACACCGTCCTCCTCCGGCACGACAACATCCTGGGTGAGCGGGGGGCAGCAGGCATGGGCAGAGCGGGCAGCTGAGGGGTGGGCCCCTGATCCCAGGTGTTTCCAAGGGTCCCTGATTCCAGGAGTATCCCAGGGTCCCGGGTGTTTCTCAGGGTCTGTGTCCCCAGTGAGACAGAGATCTACAACACCGTCCTCCTCCGGCACGACAACATCCTGGGTGAGCGGGGGGCAGCAGGCATGGGCCGAGGGGGCAGCTGAGGGGTGGGTCCCTGATCCCAGGTGTTTCCAAGGGTCCCTGATTCCAGATGTTTCCCATGATCCTTCATCCCAGGTGTTTCCCAGGGTCTGTGATCCCAGGAGTATCCCAGGGTCCCGGGTGTTTCTCAGGGTCTGTGTCCCCACGTATTTCCCGGGGTCCCTGTCCCCAGGTGTTTCTCCCTGTCCCTAATCCCAGGTGTTTCCCAGGTATTTCCCAGGTGTTTTCCAGGTCTTTCCCAGGGTCCCTGATCCCAGGGTCCCAGATGTTTCCCAGGGTCTGTGTCCCCAGGTGTTTCTCAGGTTTCCTCATCCCAGGTGTTTTCCCAGGTGTTTCCCATAATCCCAGGTGTTTCCCAGGTATTTCCCAGGTGTTTTCCAGGTCTTTCCCAGGGTCCCTGATCCCAGGGTCCCAGGTGTTTCCCAGATGTTTCCCAGGTGTTTCTCATGATCCCAGGTGTTTCCCAGCTGTTTCACAGCTGTTTCCCAGGGTCCCAGGTGTTTCCCAGATGTTTCTCCCTGCCCCTGATCCCAGCTGTTTCCCAGCTGTTTTCCAGATGTTTCTCCCTGACCCCAGCTGTTTCTCCCTGGCCAGGTTTCATCGCCTCTGACATGACCTCCAGGAACTCCAGCACGCAGCTCTGGCTCATCACCCACTACCACGAGAACGGCTCCCTCTATGACTACCTGCAGAGGACAGCCCTGGATGTGGACACCTGCCTGGGCCTGGCCTCCTCCATCATCTGCGGCCTCGTCCACCTCCACGTGGAGATTTTTGGCACGCAAGGCAAACCTGCCATCGCCCACCGTGACCTGAAGAGCAGGAACATCCTGGTGAAAAGCAACCGGCAGTGCTGCATCGCAGACCTGGGTGAGATGGGGGGGGGGGGGGGGGGG